TCTATCTAATCAAAAAGGGGGATTGCAAACTGAATGAGAAAAAATTGACTGGGAATTTGAAAGAGTGGTTTGAAGAGTACAAACACCCATGAAACCAGTGTAGCTTGTTCTTCACTAGAAGTTTTTGGCCCACATCCTGCAAACACGTGTGTTACTTTGCTCACATGATTAGTCCTATTGACTTCAATGGGACCAGTCATATGGGTGACACGGCTCCTGTATGCAAAGTTTAGTGCTAAAATCTTTAGGTTGTGACATCTTAATCACAGCTACAGTAACAAACTTTGAAGTCATATTCCTGTTGGCCTACCACTACTAACTGTTTAGCTCTCAAAGTACATGGATGGTGCTCACCTTTCAGGTTAGGAGGAACTGATCTCTCCTTTCACTGAACAAACTAATTAGACTTAATTTGTTATGTCTTCTATTATCACAGTTGCAGAGGCAGCTACTTATTTTTTTAAGATAACCTATTGAAATTTTTGAAAAACATTCTCCTTCAAGACCATTCTCCCCATCTCTCTTCCCCTGTTATGCTTACTGAAAACATTTGTTTTTTATATAAATGTCCTCAGTAAGAAAAACAAGGGAAGAGACGTAGGCAGAATAGTCTTTAAGCAGAATGAATGGTACTTCAACTTCCTATCAGGTATCATCAATTCTTTAAGAAAAATGCAGCTGAATCTGCAGACATGGCTGCTAAAGATGCAGATGGACACCTAGTGGGATTTTTAAAAGCGCATAGCTCCCACTGAAATCACTTTAGGCTTTTAAATACCTATAAATATCTGGCCTGTAATTCTTTGTTTGTCACAATTTTTTCCATAGGGATTAACATGATGTTACTAATGAGGGAATCTGGGCCAGATTCACCTCTCATACTGGTATAAAAATCAGGAGCAATGCCACTGAATCACTTATTGTGAATATTATTCTAAGCAATCAAAACCCTGTTTCCACACAAAACTCCATAGTAAATTAAAAATATGGTAAGACATGAACAGAAAATATGAGCAAAATAAATGGTCTTGCAGCTGGAATTTTTCCCATAAGGCATCACCAGGTCTTTATGGAAAATACTTCTGAATTTGCACCATGGCTGCTGGAAGAGAACAACGTAAGGCTCCTAATTAAGTCATTCTGTGCAAGAACTGTTATAATTTCATACCATTCTGGAATGTAGGGTAACATCCCCCTCAAGTAAAATAAAGTACTTTGGGTAGAAAACCCCAGTAACTATAAGCTAATGAGGAACAGACAAAGAAAAATGCCAAATGCTGTAAAGCCCAGATACTTAAGATAATGACTGAAATTTATGACTGCTTCCTTCCCTGGCAGACAGGAGTACAATTAGAATTCTCAAAACAACAGTTTCTTTGTGCTGGCAAACTATGTCATGTTTATACTACTATAGATATGCTAGAAGATAAAAAATTAATAGTACAGCACCCTTTCTAACTCAAGGTAATAGTCAAACTTGTTATGAGGTTCTGAGTATGAGTTTGCACTTATTTTACTCCTAAACTGAAGTTATTTAGGTAATTTTGATTGCAATGGGCAGGAATTAACCATTAAAGCAACTTGCAATGTACAGAGGCCTCGGTTTTCACATTCACACAGAACAAGAACAAGCAATCTATTATGGGCCCCTTTATCATTTCTTTTGCTGTGCACATATAGCCTGAAATTTAAATAACTGAAAACTATTTCTTTAAAAAAATATTAATGTTCTTTGCTTGACAAACCCTTGAATGAAAAGTGTCAAGAAATGCACATGGCCTTTCTTTCATCATTTACTTGTATCAGGGTTATGGATCACTTGGCGTTGACAACCATTAGATAGAATAAGCATAAGGAATTATTAGCACAAATTTTCTCATCTCCCTCACAAAGAGGGCACGATTACAGCTATATTTTGAATACACCAAACATAACCCAAATAAGCACAGATGGTTTTGCAACAGACTAGCCCAAGGGCATCTTTTCTCTACAGAAGGAATATATGGCATTGGAGGCTCTGACTCCCCCAAGGATATTATCAGGTCCACAAGAGCATCATACGGCTTTCATCTATAGCCTTCCTTCCTTTTGGGCTACCCCTCTCTCCTTTCCTTCCTTCATTTTATATAGTGCATCCTTTCCCCTCCAGCAGTGGTTTTCAACCTTTTTTTCATTTGCGGACCCCTAAAAAATGTTGAATGGAGGTGTGGACCCCTTTGGAAATTCAACCTGTGGTCTGCAGACCCCTACCATATAAGTCTGAAAACTGACTGAACAGAATTCAACTATAAATGTTCCACACGCTTGGCACGGCATTTGACGCAGCGTGAGAAAGAGTGCTAAACTGTGGGCTTCTATGGTAACAACAACACTTCTGGGTTTTGACCTGTAGGTGGGGGAATTCACATACTTTTGATTGATCAGAAAAACGGAATGCCTTTTCTGGGATCTGAAACTTAATTTTCATAGTCACCTTTCGCAGATCCCTTCGACGTAGTCTGTGGATCCAAGGGGTGGATCCACAGGTTGAAAACTACTGCCCTACAGTACCAATGATCATTGTTCTTGTCATACAGCTAACCATGACGGTAGTCTCATCTATGGATATAGTGATGATCCAACATCACCCTGTTGCAAGCTGCAAATACCACCTTTTGGAAACCAAGAGCAACTCCTACCAACTCTTTTAGCTTTATATGGTCTAAGGCAGGGATGGGCAACTGGCAGCCCCGAGGCCACATCTGGCCCCCCAGATCATTTTATTTGATACTGTAGTGAGAGCCAATGGGCTGAACAGGGGAGCTGGGCCCAGCCCCACGAGACAGGAGATGCCGCTTTGGGGTAAGTGCAGAGCAGGCTCACTCTCCAAATCTCTCAAGGCCTCATCCCCTAAGTGTCACACCCCCGGCCTGCCAAAGAAGTTTCAGTGGACTTTGCAGCCTGCCTCTACCTTAAAGTTGCCCATCCTGGTCTAAGTAGTAAGTGTAATGTCATCACTCCTGAATCTGAGTCAATTATGTGGCGCTATCCACAAGATGTCAAGAATTATTTTCTAGCAGGCACCTCACAACGGGCAACAGGACGCACCAGGGCTATCATCAAAGTAAATAATCAGTAACAAGTTCAATAAAACCACGCCTCCAAAGAGATGACAGAACAAATAGAAATAATTTAATTCTTAAACTTTACTTCCCATTTTTAAAAAATATATTTATAAAACAGAGAGCAAATCTATACCATGAGCTATATAATATTACATGCAAGCTAAATTTCTCTCTCTTCTCCTCCCCCAGACAATGAGGTCAAAATTAAACAAACATTCTCTCCCTTTTTCACACATAAACTGTAAATATAAATATACATGAATAAGATATTCATTCTGCAAAATACAGAACAAAATGCAAGATTCACTACTTAACTAAGCTTTCCTACAGTAAATTAAAAAAAATGAAATAAAAATTAAAAACCTATATGGGGTAGGGAGATGAATTTGAGGAGCAGAATCTTCTGAGGCTGTCCGGAGGCTGGTTGAGAGCTGTTCTAACTCACACCTGACACCTGGCCAACAACAGCCCCTATGGGTCTCACTGGCTGGTGGGGATTGCTGGAGCACTACAGCAACTTGGATACCTGCTGCTCCAGGCCACGCCCCTTTATATCTATCCTTATGTGCTCTGTCTTTATATTGGTCTAAAAGCATCTAAGACACAGTCGTCACTATACAAATAGCAGCAGCATTTGATCTTCTGCTGTTTGCAAATATTACCTCTTTACTGATGTAAACAGACTTTAGAAAATGTAAAGGTAAAAGATGGATTTGAATTGCTAGGTATTCCCTTGTTTGTTCTACAGCTAAACACTTCATATAGTTACATCATTTGAAATTATATTGTAGATATAATCAAAATCATTAATTTTAAATATCCATGAAGTCCATAAATACTAGCTTATATCTGTTTTCACAGTTTGCCCTTATTCTGTTTTCAGGATTAGTAGTTTTGGCCAGATAAACACAAATCACATAAAACTTATGAGTCAGTTTTCTAATATACCCTTGTTTTGCTGAGAAATAATGGGAAAAACATTACCAGAAGAAAACACCTAAAATGACAGAAGCATCAAAGTATAGAAATGAATGGGAAAGAGAAATGAACTTTAATTTGGATAATGGGGAAAAATTCAGAGGCAAATGCTCAATGAGCTTATATTTCCCTTCCCCATGCCTTATTAAAGCGGAAGATCATAACAAGAGATGCAAATAAACTGTCACCACATGAAGCAAAATTATATCTAGAACATCAGTTCAGTGAGAACAGTGCAGCAAGCTAGTACTGATGGGAAGCTGGCATTGTTAGCTACTAGATAAAAGGAGTCCAGCTGCTGCTATTTACACTAACTCCACCAGTGCAAGCAAGAACAAATAAAGGCTTGTTATCATTTGGTCTAATAGCCTACAAAATATATAAGGAAGCTTTCAATTTTCAAACCATTACAGGCTGACCACACCAGAGGAGTATCCTTCAATGTCTAAAAGGGGAGCAGCTGGTTCACGACTAAGGGTGAGTACTTTGCCCATGCCATCTGAGGAATAGCACAGATGACAATGCAGATGTGGCCATGAAGGGTATGTCTACACAGCCCACAGAAGCACCACCCCCCACCCTCCAACCTGGACTGACAGACTCTAGAGCTTTAAAAATAGCTGTCTAGACAGTGCTTTGAAGTTGTGGCATGGGCTGGAGCATGGGCTGTGAAGGCTAAGGAACCTCAAAGCACTGACTGTACAGCTGTTTTCAGAGAGCTATGGTGAGCCCCACTAGCCCAAGTCTGTTGAACCAGGCTGGGAGGCTCTCTTCCAAGGGCTGCACAGATATACCCCAATTTACCCTGTCTGATTGGTAGAGAGACCAAGGTGCAGTATACAAGAGTGAAATGATGCAGCAAAATAAGAAAGTTATACACAGAAAAACAAAATAATTATATTAGAGAAGTTTCTATACCTGGCCATTCCCAGACTGGAAAAGTTGGAAGGGACTATCAACACATCAAGCCTGGAAAAGGGGTGGGTACCAAGTGTAGCATGAGCAGCTGAGAGGCACTGAGGAATCAGCTCAAGAAGGATCTCTGCACAGCGATCCTTAAGGCACCATGGAGCAAAGACTCGATGAGGAATGACTAGCTGAGAACTGGCAGCAGGATTTTGGAAACGGCAAGGATACGCCACATGACCACAGCTCCCTTCAATCAACCTGAGAACACCACAAAACAATGGTTTAGTTTGACATTACAAATAGTTAAATATGTGTGCAGGAGGTGAGGAACTTCTCCAGACATCAAGGAGATAAAGCTACAAATGGGTCACATGCAAAGTTGGCTCCTTTATATTCTCACACTGTTCATGTCAATGCAGCAGTGAAAAACCGAAGGCTAAATTATTATTGGTATGCTTGGGTAGAACTGACTTGGCCACTCCAATCTAAAATAAATGAAAGTGGTAACATCTTGTTTTACTGACAGACAGACATCAAAAGAACACACGTTCAAAATGCAGTCACTATTCAAGACAAAACTATGTGTATGTTTGTGTCTCAGAAAACTAAATGGACAAGAAAAAACGATACAGCTCAAACTAAAGGAAAGATTCAGAGAGTTCCTAAGTTAAATATTTGTGAAACACTTAAATATTTAACCAAGTTACAAAGATAGGATTTACTTTTGTCAAAGAAAACAGAGATATGATTTATATTAAAATCAAAGTTAAATTTTTTAATTTAAAAATTCTTCAGGACAAACTGTAAAAAATTGTTCCTATTACACAAAATAGCAGATTTCAATTCAGTCATAGCACTGCAAACATTTGAAGGAATTATATCATGACCAAATCTGCACCTGCATTACCTCTGAAAGGTGTTTTCCGTCAAAGGTGGGGTTAGGGAGAAAAACTACATTTCCTAAACACTGAGTCAGACATTTTTAAGAGGAATTATCAGTCCAAACAAATTCACATCAAAGAGAAATCAACTTCATATTTTTTTACCTGATAATTCCTATTCTGTACAACATAACCCCGCTCTTTGGTTTCAAGTTGCAACTTTGGGGGCTGATTTATTGTAAGCACTAGGACCAGTAGTATTTGCAGGATCAGGCTCCAAACTAGTACTTTTCTATAGGCTATGATTACTTTTGCTGAATTGATGGCATATAGCTAGCTGAGTTAATAACAATGAAATAACACCACCTTACTTTTACATAAGGCCTTTTACTTGAAAGAAATGGACCTTAAACCATTTCAAAGATTATCTACACAAAGAAACCTCACCCACCACTGAAATAGAAACATCTCTAGCGCAGAATGCAATACACATTAATCAGTGCAAGCAAAATTATATAACATTTTTAAAAGGGGGATACAGAATGACATTCTTTTAAATCTACTTGGTTAATTTACCAAGGTCGGAGCACAATTAATAAAGTTGAAATTTGGCAAGGTTCTCTTCTTAGGAGATTTGATTTTAAGATATATTGGATGTATTTTACATTTCAGATGAGTGGGTACAATTTTAATATATAATGTGTCTAGAGCTTGAAATACAATGTGCCCAGGTAGCAAAACCAGAATAGGTAAATCCCATTTTAAAATTCACTTCTTTAAGGAATCCTTCCTTACGGTTCTTCTCATCAAAAATCTCTGCTCATTGTTTAGTACCTGACTTACTGCCCCATGATTTATGTTTCTCTTGTCTACCTTTGGCACTCCTCTTTGGAAACTACTGTTACTACACAGAGGGCTGGCTAGTGAACACAGTCTCCCTTCAGGCAGTGTCCTTGTGTCTTTCTATCATTTGCAAAGCAAATAATAAATACATACATACAACTCCTTCAATTGCAGGTATCTGAACTGGAACTTACACTTGTATCCAGTTATTTCTGAGATACTCACTTTATGCCACCTACAAACAAAATACCTTAAAATAACATCACTTTAATATTTTTTCTATCAAACTTTATAAAGATTTTTGAAATGGTGGAGCAATAAGTGGAAAGAAAAGTTATGAACAGTTTTAGTTTTCACATCAAGAAGCAGCAAATTAATACCTCCAGAGGGGGTTAATGACTTGGATGAGAAGGAAATAGATTATAAAGTTGCTTGTAAATAACAGGAGCCATATTTATGCCTCTTTTCCCCTTTTTTATTGAGAACCAGTGTAATTGACTAAATAGCCAGCTGATGTTCCATTACATATAGGAACAGCATTATCATAATTATTATTTGTGTTTGATAGCTCCCGCTATGTGCTAGGTGCTGTACAAACACAAAAAAGGCAAGTGATACAGACGGTAGGGAAAAGGTATACAACATGCAAGTCAGGAGGTGGTTGGCTACATCCTGATAATATACGTTTTAATAAAGTAACTGGATTTATTTTTCATAAGATATATAGACTACCCCTAAATGCCCCATAACTAGCCAGTTGGTTCCTTGTTTCACAGTAAAAGTGGGGATTCTAGGAGGAAACCAAGTGCAAAAAGGGATAGTTACACTGTGGGCTAGTTCAAGGAAGACAGAGTGGCAAGAAGATAGCTGTGAGAGAAGCAGACAGCATATCAAGGGTGGTGGGGCGGGGGGGGGTCACTGGTGGAGCAGTGGGGACATAGGATAAATCTAATATTATTCTCAGCAATGTCAAATGTACCATGTGAGGAATGAGACACTGTTTGGAGGTACACAGAACATTCATAGAATCATAGAACTGGAAGGGACCTTGAGGGGTCATCTAGTCCAGTCCCCTGCATTTGTGGAAGGACTAAGTATTATCTAGACCAGGGGTAGGCAACCTATGGCACGCGTGCCAAAGGCGGCATGTGAGCTGATTTTCAGTGGAACTCACACTGCCCAGGTCCTGGCCAGCGGTCCGGAGGGATCTGCATTTTAATTTAATTTTAAAAGAAGCTTCTTAAACATTGAAAAATCTTATTTACTTTACATACAACAATAGTTTAGTTATATGTTATAGACTTATAGAAAGAGACCTTCTAAAAACATTAAAATATATTTCTGGCACACGAAACCTTAAATTAGAGTGAATAAATGAAGACTCGGCACACCACTTCTGAAAGGTTGCCGACCCCTGATCTAGACCATTCCTGACAAGTGTTTGTCTAACCTGCTCTTAAAAATCTCCAATGATGGAAATTCCCCAATCTCTTTAGGCAATTTATTCCAGGGCTTAACCACCCTGACAGTTAGGAAGTTTTTACTAATGTCCAACCTAAATTTCCCTTGCTGCAATTTAAGCCCTTTGCTTCTTGTCCTATCCTCAGAGGTTAAGAACAACAATTTTTCTCCCTCCTCCTTGTAACAACAGTTTTCAAATACATAAAAGGTTATCATGTCCCCTCTCAGTCTTCTCTTTCCAGACTAAACAAACCCCATTTTTTCAATCTTCCTCATAGGTCATGTTTTCTAGATCTTTAATCAGTTTTGTCGCTCTTCTCTGGACTCTCTCCAATTTGTCCATATCCTTCCTGAAATGTGGCGCCCAGAACTAGACATTCTCATCAGAAAAGTTTGCTTTTATAAAGAAGATAAAACATAGGCCCCAGAAGATTTTTCATTAGTGAAGAAGCTTCTCTATCACTCATATACAGTTTGCTTGTTTCTAGATTGCTGTGATTCAGCCTCCAACTGACAGAACAAACACTGAACTCCCATGGGGGAAGAGTAAAAAAAAAAAAATCAAACTGCAAATGGAAAAAACTTGCTCTTGCAGACTATTGCACACAAAACTCTTTACTGAGAAGAAAATCTTCATGTAGTCCTTAAAGCATCTAGAGTCCTTTGATCTATTCCTTCCCTTACCACTAACTATGTGACCTTGGGCACATAATTTAAATTCTCTGTGCCTCAGTCTACCCATCTGTAAAATGGGGATAGTAATGTTTACCTATCACACTGGGCTGTCTCTAATGCTATGAAATCCCTGGATCAAAAAGGAAAAACAAACAAAAAAAATAATCATATTTAAAGGTACTTGAATAACTGAATGTTTTTCTTTGTCACAACAACTAACAACGTATTTTATGGCCGCAAATCAGCAACAGTTACAGATCCTAAAGCATTATATATTAAAACAGAATATACAATGTAATATAATTACAGCATATGCATTTCTGTAGAGGCAATATACAACATATCATATTACAAATAGGTAAACATGCAATGATTCCTAAAACTTATCTAAATGCATAAAATTTCAAAGTTTCAAACGGTATTTTTCATATCTCACTTTTGCAAAAAAAAGAGAAAGGCTCCATCTCTAAAGTTTCACTAGGAAGTGCTATTAGAATTAACAGAGCACTGACCCAGCAGGAATGCTTAACCTAAGAGCCCTTTAAGAAATCACCATTTTATCCTCTATATGCAGAGTCTGATTAACTGTATTTAAACAGTGACATATTCACAATCCATATGGAAACTGAAGTAATTGGAACCAAAACAGCTTAAGTGACCTACAAAGCCATCTAACAGGTAAGAAACTTTTTATTCAGTTCCTAACTGAATAAAAACAGAAAGGATTTAAGGATTTTAAAGCAGACAGTTATAGATGAGGAGATAATGTGCAGAGTTTAAAAATTCTGTTAACTAGGCCGAACACATGTAGAAACTAATTGTCATGTTCCATTAACCTAATTTTTTCTACATAAGCAATACACCCTTGCCCATTCTTTGCCGCTGGACTTACTTCCCTAAGATTTCTTTCTGCTCTGATTAGACATGTTCTACTGTGGTCCCTCTGCTAAGACGATTCACTTTCATGGTTCACAGAATAAATGGAATGTTCACTCGAATGTTTATTTTTTAGTAATATCCAAATCACCAACCTGAGATCAGCCCTTGAAAACAGAGAGGAAAACTCGTTATTTGTCCGGACGTCAGCTGTGTGGGATTCCTGTTTAACTTCTGTCCAACACCCAATAGCAATAGTAAAGGTGGATGCTGGCATAGGCATGGTCACATAATAGTACCAACTTAAGAGACCTATGAGTAAAAAAAGCACCATACAGCAAATTACCAAATTACCTAGAGAACAATTTCCCAGAATCAGCACTTTGAATTTCAATGCACGTAAGATTTTGAGCCAAACCTCTCCTCCCACCTCCGCACTGTTGGTTTTTTTGTTCAAGAAGGAAACATAACTTGTTTTTATGCAGTCACATTGTTTACTATCTGATAGTTATATCTTACTTACCTTGGAGATTGAAAGGGACATTAGCAAATAGTTTAGACCTAAAAACTTACATTCACACTGCTATCCTCAGATTCTAGGCATTTACAAAAAATTAAATCCAGCATTGTAATATTATGACTGTAAACATCATGAAAACATTCTACACCAATGGTCCAAAACACTGAATCTTACCATCATGGGTGGAGTCAAACAGGATCCTTAAATCCTCTAAGAAAGGACACTTTTTAACTTAAAAAAAAAATCGATTGCAGTCCTTTCACAATAGCCTTGAATAATGCTGTTTTTGTCTTAACAGTATGGTTTGTTTATTTCAAATTGCAAACTCCTTAGGGGAAGGACGATGTTTCAGTATGTTCTGCACAGCACTGAGCAGACTGTTAAAGTCTAATAAAAAAACAGTAACACTTATGATCCCTGCCTGGCAATCTGAAATGGCACAATGCATCAGCATGTCAATGAGAAGTCAAGAATCAGATTCAGTTTTGACGTGAGTGCTGAATTTGGCCCTATGGGACCATCTGGGAGCTGAGGAGACGGAAAAGGTAAGTGAATCTACCAGAGGAAGATCTGCTTAGTATAGGGGGACAATTAAGCAGAGTCCATTTAGAGAAGTGGGAGAAAGTTGTTTTTGGGAGCCATGAAGTTTTTATTGATCAAACCTACATACTCACTTTTTTTTCCTTTTGCCTAGCTATTTTTCTGTTGTTGTTAAAGGCACCGTAGGCACACATGCAAGGACTCACCTACATTTATAAATACAGTTACCACAGCTGCATACACAAATTGGGTGATTGCATATGCAGCAGTCTAATTAGATACCTGTATGTGTATCTGATTTGTGAGTAGAGCAGTCATGGTAATTTTTAATGCTAACATAGGCATGCAACTGCATGCCAACCTCAAGCCTTTTGTTTGTTTTTTTAAGTAGTCTTTGGGCTACAACTATGATAATATATGGAGATATACCTATCTCATAGAACTGGAAGGGACCCTGAAAGGTCATTGAGTCCAGCCCCCTGCCTTCACTAGCAGGACCAAGTACTAATTTTGCCCCAGATCCCTAAGTGGCCCCCTCAAGGATTGAACTCTCAACCCTGGGTTTAGCAGGCCAATGCTCAAACCACTGAGCTATCCCTCCCCTCTGGAACCCTACCATTTTTTAAAGAAAAGTAAGAAAACCCTAAGGGGAAGTAATCTGCCATTGCCTGGTCCTAGTAGCCAGGCCAGATACTAGCAAATACAAGAGGCAATTCTCCTCCTCAAGGTATAGAGACTCCAGCCAGTAGAAGCAGAAGCACTAGCAGCCAAACCGGGGGTGGGGGGGGGAAGGAATGGGCAATGAGAAGTGGGGAGTAGGGTTAGCCAGGGCCAACCCTCTCCACAGCACCCTCCTGGACCCAGAACTGTGCATGGAAACCCCCACACACACACACGCTGGGAGCACAAGGAGTGGTGCCCTCTCCCTTGTGGCCTGGGGAAGTGGGAGAGGGGAATTGCAGAGACTCCAATGGTAAGAACAGAAGCAGCCAAAGCAAGGACCACTGAATTTTCAGAAAACTTTCTACTTTTGTCTTGACTTTCTCTGGCCTATGCTGACTGGCTGTTTGTTCTAGCCCTCCCCCTCCCTCAGTCTCTTCACCTCAGCTTCACTCCACACCTACCCCTCTTAGCCTCTTCTCCCCGACCTTTCCTTTTCTTTCCATCCTCTTATCCCCTTCTAAGTAAACCCACCCTAAATAAATAAATAATGTGGCACTAATGTGACATTTGCCACCATCACATTTTCACTCTGCTTGTGCATCCTTCCTTCCTTCCTTCCTTCACCCTGTGTCTGTCTTGTCTATTTAGATTGTAAGCACTTCAGGACAGGAACCATCTGCTATTCTGTGTCTGCACAGTGCCTAGCACAATGGGGTCCCATTCTTGCTTGGCCCAGAGACACTGCTGTAATAAATATGAATAATAATATCCCAACCCCATGTCTGTACAGGGGTGGTGAGGGATGAAATAGTGTGCTATAGTGTATCTCTGGGCCTTGCATAGTGCTGCAAGGCCACCACTGGGCTTCGTGTCACAAGGCAGATGAGCACTTCCCTGCATGACCACTGGGAAGTTTGCCCCCACCTGCTTGTCAGTAGAGTAGAACACCATCAGTCTCACTGCAAATGGAGCCTCCACAGAGGAAAGAACACGATTTGACCTTAAATGCTTGCACACTCAAAATGCCAGATTGGGAGTCCCCACCACAGAAAAAGACATGAGCCGCTCTTGTTGGCTCTGAATCACAGGTTAAACATATAACATTCACAGAACTTTGCTGACCTCACAGATAACATTGATATGTGAACAGAGACTGCCATGTTCACTACAACATAATTAGAAACGAAAAGGAAATAAATTATTATTGCCAAAGGAAAAATGTTTTGAAATCCCAGCCTGTGGAAGCTGAAAACCAGCCATGGCAGGCACAAGCCCATGTATGGGAAGAGGACATCCAGGGAAGTGCCATTTATTTTATTATTTCAAAAGGTTGATGTTGAGAGCTCCAGTAATGTAAACTATACCGAAGGACAAGCCTGCCCACAATGAATCCAATGGGAGCTTTTGTCATGGACTTCAATGGGAACAAGAGCAGACCCGGAGGCAGTGTAACACAATACTTCACTGTGAGTAGCATCTGTCACATAAACAATATTCCAAAATGTTCACATAAATGGAACTTCCAGCTCAAACAACAGCAAAGAAAGAAAGAAATTACGAAGGACAGGAATGGGAGAAAGTGATGTGTTTTCAGCTGAGTTTTGAAACAAGACTGAGAGTCAATGAGGCATGGAGATAGAAAACTGTTCCAGATGGCAGGGGGTGAAGGCTCCTTCTCCTATAAAGGAGAAGGCTCTCACAACAGTGAGGAGATTTCCTAACAGGAAAGAGAAAAGGCCAGTGATAGACAAAACAGAGGGAGGGAGAGGAGCATAGTGAGAGACAAATTCAGTGAGGTAGACTGGAGTAAGTGAAGTGTTTTTAAAAAAAGAAGGCAATTTAAACAGAATACTGAAATGAAAGGGGAGACAGCTTAGCAATCTAATGTGGTGATATGTTTATGTTGCTTCTTACGTGAGAGGAGATGGGTAGCAGTATTCTGCATATGCTGGAGTCTCAAGAGCTTTAACTTCTGTAGTTTTATTCTACCACCCTCCACATCAAGAGGGGATTTCAGAGTGGGTCACACAATCTGAGGGCCAACAAACGTCACAAAGCTAGAAGATTATCAGCAAGTCCTGAAAGAGGGCAGGGGCCTTCCAAACAAGCACCAAAATGGGACTGAAAGGCAGAAATAAACTTGTTTCTCTCTTCACATGAGCTTTCAAACACCTATAGATTCATATTTACAAAATTCAACACCTTATTCTCCCTTATCCCACATGCCCTTTCTTTGTGCAGGTTTTGTAGAGACCATGCATGCACTGGACATCCCCATAACTCCACCCTGAGGCTCCTATTGTGCTTATAGATGCTGCTGAACCCCAGTCCACTGCTCACAAGGCTGTTAGGGGTCTCATGTATTTGCAGCCCAGAATATACTGAATTGACAAGAAGTCTCAGAGCATACTGTGAGGTGAATGAGGTGTCACCATTGTGGTTCCTGACGTTTCCTGATGACTGAATTGGCCTTTATGCAGGTAATGCTTCCTGCCAGTAACCAACATGAGCAGCTGTTACTGGTAGGAGAGATCATTTGTTTCTCATGTTTTCTCTGTCTCCCCCGCCCACACACACTTTCCCATTTTCTTCCTCTTTTTGAATGTCTGTCACCTGTTCTAATTTTTTCTTTTTGTCCCTCCCAATTCCTCTGTCTCCCCTCTTTTCCCTTCGCTTGGTTTCTTCTTCTCCCTTATCTTTCCTCCCCTCCCTTATCCTCAGTGTTTCCCCTTCTCCTGGTTCCTTTTCTTGCTCTCCTCTCTCTCACTCCAGTGCCTTCATGTGACTCTCTTGGAAACAGCACCACCTATAGGGAAAGGGAAAGTAATGCAATGAACTCAGCATAGGGCTTCCTCCTTATAGTGCAAGTAACGCTCCACATCACTGAAACATTTCTGTGCTATGTGAGGGCTCACTGGCAGGACAAGGAAAATAGCTGGTGTTTCCTGCAGAAAATGGAGGAACAGCACCTATTAAATAACATGTGAATTAGAAAATATCCAGTTTTATCTATTTAGGACTCAGTTAAAAACGGCTGGAAAAGTGCAATCTATAAGTGTGGGAAAATAAAATTTTAAAAAGCAATTTATTTTTTGTATTTCAAATAACAACTATGAGATAATGACTAAGTTTCTTCATGCATATTAATTGTCTTTGAAATGGTTATAAAAACAATTCTGAGTACCAATGCGTACATAACTAAAATAAACACAAGTGTCAGTATATCTTATCGTCTGACCTAATAAAAAGGTATATTTTCTTATATTTATATAGCACTTTTCACCTCAAATAATTCTTTTGTGTTTTAAATACAAACTGAGATACATATTATACACACACACACACACACACGGGATTACTTCATCCACCACTGAAATTCAGCCACCTCTAATGGGAAACACTATTATGTTTAGTAATGCATAAAATCATTACACAACACTTTCAGAAAGAAAGTGAAAAATACACCTCTACCCCGATATAACGCTGTCCTCGGGAGCCAAAAAAATCTTACCGCGTTATATCAAACTTGCTTTGATCCGCTGGAGTGCGCAGCCCCGCCCCCCCGGAGCACTGCTTTACCGTGTTATAT